CGAGAGCTCCAAAGTAGCAGAGAGCTCCAAAGTAGCAGAGAGCTCCAAAGTAGCAGAGAGCTCCAAAGTAGCAGGCCCAGGCGGACAGCAGGCGTCTAATCTCCAATTGAATGCACATCTTAACATAATCATTATCATCTCAATGGCTTGCTGGCATCACCTTTCAACCAAAAATGCCATGCGTCATTCCTACTTGGCCATGGCTCTCAGAAAGACCCTATCTTAAATACACACATACATATATGTATAGCTACTATTTATTAAGAACCTATTAGAGGGGCTGGGGATGTGGCTCAAGTGGTAGTGCGCTCGCCTGGCATGCGTGCGGCCCGGGTTTGATCCTCAGCACCGCATACAAACAAAGATGTTGTGTCCGCCAAAAACTAAAAAATATTAAAATTCTCTCTCTCTCTTAAAAAAAAAAAAAAGAACCTATTAGAGATTGGGGGGTATACCTGAGGGATAGAGCACTTGCCTAGCATGTGTGAGGCCCTAGGTTTGATCTACAGCCAGGGAGAGGGGAAGGGCAGGAGATCGAGATCGAGATAGACACAAACAAATACATCCCAGCAATTTGGGAGGCTGAGTCAGGAGGACCGAAGTTCATGGTTAGCTTCAGTAACTTAAGCCAAGCCCTAAGCAACTTAGCAAGACCCTGTCTCAAAATAAAAAAAATAAAAAGGGCTGGGTATGTGGCTTAGTGATTAAGCACCCCTGGGTTCAATCATGGTGCCAATAAATAAAAATATATATATATAATATATATAAATAAAAGAATCTACTAGGGACAGATATTCCTGAGCTCTGAGCTATAAATCCTGCTAGTGATTTTCTAAACTATTCTGCAGAATTCTAGGATCCATGGAAGGTCTCAGGAACTGCAGTGAAGTGCAAAGAAGAGATCAAGCAATTCATGCTCAGGACTGCCTCCTCTGCTTCAGCCAGATTGCTTTGTTATTACCTGTTTACTACAGTAATCCTTTGGATAATATTTTGTCTGAAAAGTAGTGTCTTATTGGATCAAAACAAATTTATCTAGTTGCCATTTTCTCCTGATCCAAACCCTAACCCAAAGGAGATACTTGATAACCATGCTGATTTAACAAATTGAATTGCTTTAAATGGACCAGAAAATTTGGGGGAATTGATGAAAGACAGAATATAGAATTGGGGAAACAATGAAGGAAGGAACCACTACTCAAAACTTGCGAAGAGGGCACCTATAAGTTGTGAGATAGGCTTCAGTATTGCTCTAAGCTTGAAGAAAATGGATATGGGGACCAGAAGGAAATCTCAAATCAACATTCACTGTGATTTTTCTTTTATATTTAGGCACTTCTTTTCTTTGTTCTTCTACTGTGCTATGGAGTAAACTGCAAAAGCAATTTCAGTGAATGGTAACACCTAGTTATTATAAGCAGGGAAATACCCAAGAGATTTGTGTACCTGCAGAGGAAGCAAGAGTTCCCATGTCCAGGTGTACTACTGAGCAACTCTGTCTGTAACCACAGGAAGAAAAACAAAACACATAGAGAAGCATTCACAAACAAATAGGAAGCTGAGCAGGTAAGGGAAATGCAAACATTAAGGACACAACCAAGAACTACCAACTATTAGGAAAATCTAAGAGTTCTAGAAGGAGAGAATGGTGGGAGTAGGCCAGAGGAAATATTCAAATAACAGAATAAAATATCTCTTTGTCAATAAAAAGACTTCCAAAGGGCCTATGAATGCTACCTAGAAAAACAAATTTAAATAGAAATACAAATTCAAAAACCCCAGATCATAACTAGGCACTGGCAGGTAAAATTTTAGAAAACTAAGATGAAGGGTAAAATCCTAGTATTTATAAAACAAAATAAAACAAAAACCAGATTATTAACAAAGGAATGAAGGTTTTAAAAGGCATTCTAACAATATTTTCAAAGAAAAAGAATAAAATGAAGATAATTTTAGACATGTCCAGATTCAGAGTTAATGCCCATAGTCATCATTTAAAGAAAACAAAGAAATAGGATTATAGGAATTTTCACAAACTTGGGAGTGTAAGAGAGAAAACAAATATTATTTAAACCCAAACCATAGTTACATCTGATCTCCAAAGGTGGCAGTTGGAGATAATCTGAGACCATACAAAGTATGTTTCTTCTCAAATTTTCGTTCACTAATTTTTGCATCCATCAATATATCATATCTGGAGCAATTATCACTGTTATTTGCTTAATGATGACTTTCTATTTCTATTAATCTAGCGAAGAATTATAATTCTACTTTAAGGAAGAGAATCCCCTACCCCACTTATTTATTTAGCCAGTTATTTATTTAAACTATATGAGGGATATTAGGGATACGTATTTTGCCATATGTATTATAATTCAATATGATCATTATTTTGTTGCTAAAATTGTTCAGTTTTGGCCATTCAGAGCTTCTTTATGTTGATTCTTGTGTATCTTAGAAAAGATTCACGTTAAGAAAAGTAATTTTTTTCCTTCAGAAGATGTTTCAGACTTTTTTTTTTTTTTCTGGCTCTGTTGGGACCAATCACCCTTCTTTTTTGTGGGGTGGATACTGGGGATTGAACTCTGGGGCACTCGGCCACTGAGCCACATCCAGCCCTATTTTGCATTTTATTTAGAGGCAGGGTCTTACTCAGTTGCTTAGCACCTCGCTTTTGCTGAGGCTGCCTTTGAACTCATGATCTTCCTGTCTCAGCCTCCTGAGCCACTAGGATTATAGGCATGCGCCAAGGCACCCAGACCAATCAACCTTCTAAGAAACCCTGGTTCCTTTTATTGGAGAATGGTATTTAGAAATCAAATTTCGTGCCTGGTGAGCTTTTCAATACTGGTAAATTATTACTTTTTGGCTCTTTTGGTGAAGACAGATGCATGTATACTAACCTATGTGTATGTATACTAACACATCTATATTTCTGCATCTACCGTGTTTACATATTAAAAACGAGTTCATACTAATGCACTGGATTCTGATTCAACATCACAGGGTTCATTTTAGCTGATCTTTTTTAAAAATATATTTTTTTAGTTGTAGATGAACACAATACATTTATTTATTTTTATGTGGTGCTAAGGATCGAACCCAGTGCCTCACATGTGCGAGGCAAGCACTCCATCACTGAGCCACAATCCCAGCCCCTTAGCTGAACTTTTTAAGACTATAATGTCTTAAGTCTTTAAGACATTAAGTCTTAATGTCTCTGGTTTATATCAGAGTAACCTCTCTATGACCAGTCTTTTAATAATGATTGAAATACAAATGGCTGGGGGCCGTGTGTGTGTGTGTGTGTGTGTGTGTGTGTGTGTGTGTGTGTGTAAAGGAAAGGGATCCCGTCTATGTCTGGAACAACATAATGCAGGATAAGGGTTAAGGATACAAGACTGTGAGATCACCTACGAACTAATTCAGCATAAGTAGAAGGTCCTAAATCAAAGGTGAGTGGGAAAAATATAAGATCCTCAGGAGGGGTACCTGGTACATATTTTTCCCTTCAACTTTCTTTACCAATGGCAGACTTCAACAGAGGATCACCACACACTGACCGACGGGAGCCAGGACATGGTTCCGTTCTCAATCTTGTACTTTAGGCAGTCACTATTTATCTATTAGAATTCCCACTGTGGGGGCTGGGTTGTGGCTCAGCGGTAGAGTGCTCGCCTAGCACGGTCGGGACTCGGATTCGATTCTCAGCACCGTATTAAAAAAAAATAAAGGCATTGTGTTGTGTCCATCAACAAAAAAGATTCTCTCTCTCTCTTAAAAAAAAAATAAAATAAATAAGGGCTGGGGATGTGGCTCAGGCGTTAATGCGCTAGCTCGCCTGACATGCGCCGAGCGCCCTCGGTTCCACCCTCATCACCACATAAAAATAAAAAAATAAAGATGTTGTGTCCACCGAAAACTGAAAAATAAATATTAAAAAATTCTCTCTCTCTCTCAAATAATAATAATAATAATAATAATTATTATTCCCATTGTGGATGATACTTATTCCTAGGTAAAGAAACGAACAGCTCAAGTAAAGCACATTATTTGGGAGAGGAATACTATCTATCATTAGAATTTTGTAAAAAGAACAGAAAAAAGCCTGACATAACATAGTAAATGAGGTCCAAAAATTTGATATATAAGACCAATTCCTAGGGTCCAGCTCATGATATGAAATTAAGTATCTCTTGATGGTCATTTGTTTACTTTGGCTAAAATATCAATGGGTCTGTTTTTTAACCATTACCTGAGATGGCCAGAGAAGCACAATAACATTAGGAATTTCCATTAGTTGGGACCCAGTTTGATTACTGATTCTATGAGATTGGAAAGCATACCGAGGACTCAAGGACCAGCTGCCACATCCCTGTTTACCAAGGTGGAGTTGTTGCTATTACCTTTCCTGTTGGGATTCTCTTTCCCTTCCTTCTCCTGCTTCTTTCTGTACAATCTGAGCTCACCCCAACTAAGTGGAGAATGGGAGCCAACTGCCAGTCAGGTTATCTAAAAGTTCTCATGATGGTGAGGGTTTACTATACCTTATGGGAGTAGCTAGTAGAGGGCAGGTACACAAGCTAATAGGAAATAAGAGGGGAAATTATGACTGGGGAATAGTGGGGAAAACAGAGAAGGCAGAGAGGATTCGGAGAAACAAGTCTCAGAAGCAAAAAGGATCGAATGTACAAATCTGTTTTTTGTCAGATCAAATACATTTGATGCTCATGATGTAGTAGTAACAAAAAGTAATCCTGAAAAAATACACACACACACACACAGAGGCAGCAACAACAAAAAATAAAAAATATGTGAATACAGTTTGATTTCTAAGTTTGTAAATGTTTGTATTTTTAAAACATGTTACTATGCCTGCTACTGTGAAGAGGTGATGATAGAGAACAGGAATGAATGGACCTGCTTTCTGCCTAAGGCTTACTGTTTAACACAATAGATAGCTATGAAAGTAAATAAAAACTAAGAATGAATATCAATAGTTATAAGATTGGGGATAATTTTATTTCCTTCTTTAAAAACCACATTTTCCATTTTCTAGAATTCTTATGTATTCTTTTATAATAAAAGAAAAGTAATAAATTTTATATTTTAAATGAACAAATTCTATAAAGACCAGGCTATCTGGAATCAATTCACATTCATCAGGCTAAGAATACCCTTATTTATAGAATACAAATTTTATTTATTCTGTTATGTTCAAATTCTTATGATAGCTGAGGTTACACAAGGAGGGTTAAGAACCCTTGATCACAAGGGAGATTTAGTTCTTACTTATGTGGTGTTTGTGGCAGAGAGAGCTGAGGGAATGTTTAGCAGATAGAAATATTAATATTTCTTTGATGAATAAGAGAATACTAGAAGTGGATATATTTTATTTACATGAAATGTAGTTCAACATGGCATGACATGTTTTATCTTCTGATGTGGGAAACCCTTCCAACTCTGGATAAATATTAGGAGATACTCAAGTACCTATTATCAGCATATTGCCAAAGCTTCTCTTAGGGTGATAAAATTTGAAGAGTGCTTATCATTATTTATATTAGGTTAAATTATTTAACTATTGTCAGAAAGGTCTTTTTTCCCCCACACTTTTAAGGGTAGGATAATAAAATAATAGTAATAGCAACATCATTTAATGAGTATTTATTTTATACTAGGCACTTTACATTGATAATCTCATTGGATCTGCAAAACAAATCTCTTAAGGTTAAGTATTTCAGGCCCACAATCTCTTATCCAAAACTTTGGAGACCACGTGTGTTTTGGAAGTGAGATTTTTTTTTTTTTTTTGCAATTTATAAAAAAATTGGTATTCTTTGGCATATAATATATATACTATATACTTTGTAATATACTAAGTGGGTATGAAATATATTAATATTTCTGTAAAGAAATGTATGAAGGGTTAGGGATACAGCAATGGTGGAGTGCTTGCCTAGTGAGTGTGAGGCCCTGTGTTCAATACCCAGCACCACTCACAGACACACAAAATTATACTAAGTGGAATAAAGACCATAAATAATAATAATATGATTTATTTACATAAATAAATTAGTGAATTTATCAACAAGTGAATACACTTACTGGTAAATGAAATAAGAATAGACTATATACTTTAAGCTTCTTATTTCTTTAGTTCTGGTAAAACTTCTCACTTTAAAGGAAATTTTTTTTTTTTAAAGAGACAGTGAGAGAGAGAGAGAGAGAGAGAGAATTTTAATATTTATTTTTTAGTATTTGGCGGACACAACATCTTTGTTTGAATGTGATGCTGAGGATCAAACCCGGGCCGCACGCATGCCAGGTGAGCGCGCTACCGCTTGAGCCACATCCCCAGCCCAAAGGAAATTTTTAAGTAAAAATTATATTCATACTGATGAAAACTAATGTATAACACATATAAATGCAATAAATGTTCATCACTTCTGGTTCCTAGAGAATCTTGGAGAAAAAGTTACACCAATATTACCATTGTCTATAAAACCAGGAGGCAGCTAGACATAATGAGCCAGAAACAGGATTCTCAAGTGACATAGAAGAGAACTTTTTAAAAGGCCTTTTCCAGTGTCATCTGCCTCCTTAACACAGGTTTTTGTCTAAGCAATTTCTCTTTAATTGAGTAAATCGCCATGGTCTCTTGCTCACTGATGAATGCACATTGTTCAAGACCAGCAATTAACTGGTCACACATTTTCACCAGGTGTTCTATAGAGATTTTTTCACCTGTGTTCATGTCATCATCGTGACTGCTACTATCTTCATACTGATTTGTATTTACACCCATTTCAGCAAAATCCCCCTCGCTCAAAGGATGCACAACGGGTACATCATTATCAATGTTCAGTATTTCTTCAATGTCAGCTTCTTCTAACTTATTTACACTTTCAGCTGATAAACTTTTGGCATAAGTAATAAGTTTTGATATCATGATCTTCTCATTAGAATCTCTAAATCCTTCAAAATCCTCATCAGCAAGGTCATTTTCAAACATCATTGTAGCCCAAAGTCTGTGCCAAGCATTTGTTAATGTTGACTTATCAACATCATTCCATGCATTAGCAATTGCATAGATGGCATCCTTAAGTCTAAATTGTTTAAGGAAGTCCTGGATTTTCAGGCCTCTGTTCACTGAAGCAAGCATGCTGTTTAAGAAAAAGTGTTTATATTTGCTCTTCATGGAGCGTAAAATTCCTTGGTCACAAGGCTGTATTACGGATGTCACATTCAGGGGAAGGAAGATGCTGAAAACATTACTTTTCACAAGAAGTTCTGGAGGGGGATGTGCTGAACAGTTGTCTAGGAACAGTAAAATTTTGCAATTGTCTTCTAGTCCGGCTTGCTTGCAATGAGCTCGTGCTGCTGGCACAAAGTGCTTATTGAACCAATCAGAAAAGATTTCTCTGGTTACTGATGCTTTTTTGTTTGCATAATAATGCACAGGTAAGCTGCCAGTACCTTTTAAACATTTTGGAGGTAGGCTTTTCCCAATCACTGCCAGTTTTATCTTATGTGTACCTGCAGCATTAGCACATCCAAGAACAGTTAACCTTTGCTTGGCATCCTTGAAATCTGTTGGTACCTTTTCATCGGCCATGATTAAGGTTTTTCTAGGAACATAGCACCAAAACAGAGCTGTTTCATCAGCATTGTAAATTTGTTCAGGGCTAAGGTTTCCATCAGATATTATCTTAGCAAATTCATCAATGTAATTTTCAGCTGTTTCATGATCCACAGAAGCTTTTTCACCGCACATTTTAAGATATTTGATTCCATGACGCTTTTTAAATTTTTGCAGCCACCCTTCTGAATATTCACACTCGCTTTCAATGTTCAGTTCTTCATGGTATATTCTAGCTTGTTTCATGACCAATAAACCAGTCAGGGGCATATCTTTGCTTCTTTGTTGTCGAATCCATTCAATTAACACACGGTCAAGATCTTCATTTTTGGCCCTATGTAATGTTTTTCTGTTTTTCATTAGTTCTTGGTTATCACTGTCACTGTAAAATTTCAGCAATTTGTCTTTCTGTTTCTTTAAGTCATATATGGTGGTGGTCCCCACACCATATTCTTCTGTAAGACACCTTACAGACACACCAGCATCAAGCTTCTGTAATAACTCTACTTTCTGAGCTATTGATAAAGACAGATGCTTCCTTTTCTTCTTCTCACCATTATCCGTTGGTATATCTTTAACTCTTTTGGACATTTTCCAATGCTATTAATTCCCAAGTCACAAAACGTCAGCAAATAACAGAGGTATGTGTGTTGAATGGATATGAGTAGTGAGAAAATGGAGGCTTCATGTTTATCCACAGTTTGTTTTGTTGTCAAAGATTCCCAGTGCCAAACTCACAAAACACTTTTGAGTTTCAGCGTGTTTTCTGTTTTTGTCTTATTTTGGGATTGCAGAGTAGAGATTGTGGACCTGTATTAAAAATATCATTTTAATGATGAAAAGACTGAGGCTTAACTAGGACCTTTTCAAGATTATGCAGCTATTCCTTGTCTGTTCTGCTTATATTCAGTCTCCCAAAATTTGACCACTTTACTAGAAAGAAGAATTTTTTTTGGGAGGAGGGAGGATACTGTCTATCAAAAAAATTTGAGTTGGGATATATTTTAGCAATTCTGTGACTGACATAGTTATTAGGTGAGCCCCACGCTGGATAATATGGACATGTCTTGGCAAGAAGAGGTTAGAGATCTTAAATTTAGTCTTTGAATACAGATTTTCGTTTTTGGACCGATTCATGTGGTTGGTACTTATCTGTTTGGTTATTTACTGCTCTACAATGAAGAAAAATGAAAGTAAAGTTCTTTTCAGTTAAATCTCCAGCACTCACATAAATTTGCACTAGTTATCCATTCATTTAAAAAGTTTTTTGTTTACTTGTTTTTAACTGTTCCATAAATTGTACACCCAGAATATGACTCAGAATTAATTTAAAACACATTTCAGACATTTTAATGAGATGTTTCCTTTAACTTAACACTCAGAATGTATTAGATATTTTTAATGACTTAGCTTTTGTGTCTTGGGTTTATTTCATGTACTACTTTAATAGTTCCTATAGGAAGGCCAGTTGCTCTTCCTCATTCTCATTATCCTCATGTAATGCAAAAGCCTGAAGACTATTGATTCAGTCCTAAGTCTCCCTTTTCCCACTAGGTGCAAGAGCAGTCTTTTGGGCTGGGAAGTCCATGTAAGTCAAGCAAAGTTTCCATAAAATCACACAGAGTTTAAAACCCAGTAAACAAATATTAAAAAATGCATAAAATTCATTGAGAGAGGAAGAGATCATATTTCGTGGGGCTAGAACATTCATTTTACTTTTCTACATTGGTCTCTATTAGATTATAATAATAATTACTATTTATTTGGTACCTTCTGTCTGCCAGGTTGGCACTAGGCTAGCATTTAAGAAATATCAGATTCAAAGAGTCAACCTACCCTTGTCTAGCATCACAAACTTCTAAGTGAAAGCCTAGAAGTCACCTGTCTGACCATAACATCTTATTTATTTTTTCGCTTACTTCAACATACTTTAATTTTTCTTGAGAAAATGTTCTGTATTCCTACTTCTCCCTTCATTATAGTCCTTTTCCCCACTTTATTAAAGAAAGGCATATCCTCATTTATTTGAAATCTTCTTAGGTGCACTGTATCAAGGGATAAAAATCTCCTGGTTGCTCATTAAAGGAACAATTTGAATCATTGATTTGGGGGAGCTTCCTTGAATAATTAATAAAAGCACATAAAACCCCTATGCTTATCTTTCTTATATATTTCTGTTGGTAAAGTTTTGCTTTAGAACTAAGGTATTCTGGCTCATGATTGGGTACTCTAAATTAGTCATAGTCTAAAGCAATGACTATGACTCTTGCTTTTTTGAACTAATGTCAAAGAATGCAATCCTTTGGAGAGAGATATTTTGATGTCAACAGCACAAACAGTTAAAAAAAATTAAAACCTTTTGAAAGGAAAGCAATTCTTTCTAGCTATTTTGAAAATACTCATCCTACAGTTTTGCCATTGGTTGCAAAGAAAAGTACTTCAAAATAGCCTAAAAAGTAGTGATAACAATGCTGATTACCTTTTTACTGTACTTTTTAAAGAATACCAAATGGGCCCTGGTGAATATATGTAAAATTTTTATAAGATTTCTCTCATAAGGGATGGAGGTGTATTTCAGTGGTATAGTGCTTTCCTAGCATGTGTGAGGCCCTGAATTTGAACCCCAGGACCATTATACAAAAAAGAAAAAAGGTCATGTTGTATGTTCTGTTACTAGCTAATAATAGGTACTTTGGCATGTCAATTAGTTTTTCATGGTCTTGAGTTCTATTTCCCTATAAAATGAGAAGACTGACCTAGATCATTTGTAGTCTCCGTTATATCCCTAATAGTCTATAACTCTGTAACGTAAGATTGATAAAATAGGGCTGGGGATGTGGCTCAAGCAGTAGCGTGCTCGCCTGGCATGTGTGCGGCCCGGGTTTGATCCTCAGCACCACATACAAACAAAGATATTGTGTCTGCCGAAAACTAAAAAAATAAATATTAAAAAAATTTCTCTCTCTCTCTCTCTTTAAAAAAAAGAAGATTGATAAAATATTTCCATGAATGACTGAAAACAAAAAATATTTAAAAATAACATTTTCCCCTTTTCTTCTCATTTTCCTTCTACCCTTCCTCCTATTCTTCCTTCTTTAATATTATGAAGGCCCTGTTTGCATATAGAAATGACTATATTTTTTGGAGGTATTTACTGAAATTGGTCTCATTATTTTTCAATTACATCAATTCAATGGGTTTCCTTAACCAAAAATAATTAAATTCATGACATCATTATTTTACCTAGTAACTGAAATCTCAAAAGCATATACTAAAGATAATATTATCTAAAATAAAAAGATCATGTTTGCATGATCTTACTTCTTATTTTTAAGAAAACTAGAATCTTGAAATAGCTCATCAGACATAAAACTCTGGAATAAGCAGATTTAACTGGTCTTTGTTGATTGCTAAAGAATATGTATGTGAGGTCCACTAGCACCACCTTGTGTTATTTCCAAACCAATATAACACATGATCTGTAAATAGTGCCATTTTTATTTTAAATAGTTTCATTTTGATAATTCCAAATGTAATATTCCACTGGGTCATATAATTTTTCATATTTGCAAAATTATGGGCAGTGAGGAAAGGTATTAAAATGTTAGCGGTATGCTTTTCTTTCTTGATCCCATCTTTGTCATCAGATGCTTCGGATTACAAAATCAAGATTGTTGTATGAGTGTTAAAATATACAAAAAAGAACAGTTAATATTCAATTGAATGACTTCCTAAAATGGGCAAAGTAGAGCAGAGAACCCTGTGAAGAAATGGTTGCTGGCTAGCAGTATTCCATATGAGTGAATGTGCCATCTTTGGGTTGAGAAGCCACAGGTGCCAACATCATCACTGACAGGCGACTGTAGCCCCCTTTATGTAGCCACTTGGCTAATGCAGTAAATAATGTCTGCCTGTGCCCTAAGACTTTGGTAAGTTCACACCCGAACTGTTCTTTGTACCCTTATTAATACTCACAATTTTCTTCAAAACAATGTAGATTCCTTTACTACCAGAGAATGCCAAAGATTAAATAGAAATGAAAGCATCAGCTATGATAGTTAGAAGGATCTGGATGGTGGAAAACCCATTCTTAGTTACATGAATGTATCATACACATGCACATGTGTGTGTACATACTGGGGAAATACTAAATGAGGTACTGCTGAGGGCCATTGCTAAGTAAGGATGACGCATGGCATGACCCAGGTCATTTGCAGTGTCATTGCATGTAAGGTGACCTTGCTCAAGGACCAGGGCGGATCTGGGTTTAGGGCGGATTGGGGTTTAGGGCGTTCAGGTTTAGGACAATCGGGTTTAGGGGTTCCAGGTTTAAGGTGTACCCTGCTGGGAATAGGGCGTATCCTGCTGCCTCAGGCGCCCCGCTCCTTGAGTTCCCGTTGAGTTCTCCTGGGATTCAGAGAGAGTATTTGGAATTTTGCCCAGAACATGATTTGGGCCCAGAACGTGAATTCCCCCAGAACGTGTGTAGAGTGCCGGTGTGAGTTCGGGAATAAAGAGTTGCTGTTTGAATCTACAAGGTGTGAGTGGCTCGTGATTTTGTGCCCAGCCAGACTGTGGCAAGGTACCATGTACTCAAACAATAAACTTTTATTGAATACCTAATCAAAAAGATAATCATTTTTAGCTCCTATTTTGAAACCAGACCCTGTGTTGTATACTAGGGATATACAGTTAGCTAACTTGTGCAATGCAAAGGAAAAGTTTTTGAAGGAAATTATTAGGGCTACTCTAGTGAACATACAAATGATAAGAGAATGAAACAACCTCATTGCATATATGAAGAAGGGTTTAATGGTATGGATAGAAGATCAACTAACTATAACACTCCCTTAAAATCAAAGCCTAATCCAGAGCAAGGCCCTCTCTCCAATTCCTTGAAGTATTAGGGAGGCAAGGAAGCTGCAGGGGAGTTTAAATCTAGCAGAAGCTGGCTCCTGAGGTTTAAGAAAAGACGCTGTATCCACAAAGTAAAAGTGCAAAGTAAAATAGCAAGTGCTGATGTTAAAGCTGCAGCAAGTAATCCAGAAAATCTAGCTAAGATCATAGCTGAAGGGAATTACATTAAATGATAGATTCTCAATGTAAACAACACAGCCTTTACCTTGGAAGGTGCCATTTAGGACTTTTATAGCTAAAGAGAAGTCAATGCCTTTCTTCAAGGCTTCAAAGCACAAGCTGGCTCACTTGTTAGGGGCTAATGCAGCTGATTAATTTAAGTTGCAGCCAATACTCAACTATCATTCTGAGAATTCTAGTGACCTTAAGAATTAGACTAAGTCTACTCTGCCTGGTTGCTATTAATAGAATGATACAGTCTAGATGATAGCGCATCCATTTACAACCTTGTTTACTGAAAATTTTAAGCCCACTGTTGAGACTTATGGCAAAAACAACAATACCACATACATTTACACACACACCCATCTCCCAATATCAACCAACCAACCAACCAACCAGCCAACAAAACATCTTTCCAGGAAGGAAGGAGGAGATTAAAAAAAAATTTAAAAGTCCCTTTCCAAAGTACCTGATCACCCAAGAGCTCTGTTGGAGATGTACAGAATTATTGTTGTTTTCATGTTCATTCTGCAGGCCATGGATCAAAGAGTATTTCATGTGCTAAGTCTTACTACTTAAGAGATGTATTTTGTAAGACTACGGTTGTCATAGATAGAGATTTCTCTGAAGATCTGGGCAAAATAAATTGAAAACCTTCTAGAAAAGATTAATCATTCTAGTTGCCATTAAGAACATCCACGTTGGGCATGGTGGCACATGCCTAAAATCCCAAGTAGGAGACTGAGGTAAGAGGACTGCAAGTTTGAGACCAGCCTGGGTAACTTAGTAAGACCCTAACTCAAAATAAAATAAAAAGGATTGGGGATGAAGCTCAATAGAAGAGCACTTGGTTAGCACATGCAAAGCCCTGGTCCAAAACTCAGGGCTAGAAAAAGAAAATAAAGGACATTCCTGATTCTTGGGAGGTCCAAATATCAACCTTAACTTGGAAAGAGTAGACTCCAACCTTTATAAATGACTTTGAAGAGTTCAAGACTTCACTGGAAGAAGTGACTTAGAGATGTAGTAGAAATAGCAAAAGAAATAGAATTAGAAGTGGAGCCTGAAAATATGGTTGAACTACTATAATTCTATGATAAAACTTTAATTTTTTCTTTGGTGCTGGGGATTGAATTCAGGGACACTTTACCACTGAGCTACATTCCTAGCACTTTTTTATTTTTTAATTTGAGACAGATACTTGCTACAGTGCTGAGGTGGTCTTATACTTGTGATCCTCCTGCCTCAGCCTCCTGAATTGCTGGGATTACAGGAGTGCACCACTGTGCCTGGCTACAATAAAACTTTAAAAGAGGAGAAATTTTTTCTTATGGATAAGCAAAAAAGTGGTCTCTTGAGATGAAATTTACTCCTGGTACAGAAGATGTGAACATTATTGAAATGACAACTAAGGAATTAGAATATTACATAAATTTAGTTTTTAAAGTAGTGGCAGGGTTTGAGAAACGAAGTTCTATTATGGTGCTATTAAACATTTCATGCTTTAGAGAAATCTTTGGTGAAAGGAAGAGTCAATTGATGTGGCAAAATTCATTGATGTCTTATTTTAAGAAATTGCCACAACCATTCCATTTAGCAACCATCGCCCTGATTAATCAGTGGTCATCAACTCTGAGATGAGATCTTCCACCAGCAAAAAGATTAAATTGGTTGAATGCTCAGATGATTGTTGGTATTTTTTTTTTAGCAATAATGTATTTAAATTAAGGTATGTACATTTTTAAAAAGATAAAATGCTATTGCACACTTACAATATAAACAACTTTTTATTTTCTCTGTACTGAGGATTGAACCCAGGGGTACTTTACCACTGAACTACATCCTCAGTCCTGTTTATTTTTTGAGACAGGGTCTCACTAAATTGCTGAGGGCCTTGCTAATTTGCTGAAACTGGCTTTGCTTTTTTTTTTTTTTTAAAGAGAGAGAGAGAGAGAGAATTTTAATATTTATTTTTTTTTAGTTATCGGCGGACACAACATCTTTGTTTGTATGTGGTGCTGAGGATCGAACCTGCATGCCATGCAAGCGACTACCGCTTGAGCCACATCCCCAGCCCTGAAACTGGCTTTGTACTTACAATCTTCCTGCCTCAGTCTCCCTAATCACTGGAATTATAGGTGTGGACCATGGTGCCTGGCCTAAACATAACTTCTTTTTTTTATATGTTTTTTAGGTAGACACAATACCTTTATTTATTTTTATGTGGTGCTGAGGATCGAATCCAGTGCCTCACATGTGCTAGGTGAGTGCTGTACCACTGAGCCATAACCCCAGCCCCTAAACAACTTTTATATGCATTGGGAAACCAAAAAATCTGTGACTTGGTTTATGGTAAAATTCACTTTATTGTGGTCATCTGGAACTGAACCCACAATATCACCAGGTATGCCTTTATTAACAGTAGAAGCTATGACCAGGCTAGAAAATCAGCTTCATGTAATTTACCAATATTTTCTTTTTATGCTAATGTTTATTTCAAGGCCAAAGAAAGAATTCTCTGCAATAGGAATCTTCTCTTCTTGTTTTAGAAAATATATCAAAGTTATTTTAAAAAGTTGAAAGATTGACATAATTTACACCATTATTCATTTCATTCATTAATCAATTATTAATATTTTGCCACATTTGTTTTACTTTCTCCTTTAAGGCAGTATTGGGGATTGAAACTAGGGGTACTCTACTATTGAGATACATTCCAGTCCTTTTTTAAAAAAAATTTATTTTGAGATAGGGTCTCACCAAGTTGCTGAGGCTGGAGTCAAAACTTGCAATTCTCCTGCCTCAGTCTCCCTAGTCACTGAGATTAAAGGTGTGAGTCAACATTCCTGATTGTTTTTGTGTATTATTTTTGTCAAAAAATAAAACTTTTTCGCCACATGGACTTTGTTTCTCTGGGAAAAACCTAGTGGTTGGTGCTGAAATGGAAAATGCAGCAAAGAATACCTCCGAAATCCGTCCTCTGTTTTGCATCTTCTCTGCCATTTCCCAAGTCCACATTATCATATCTTGCTGGGATGATGATAAAAGCCTTCTAACTGGTTCAACAGCATCCTCCTTGGCTGCTTCTATTCTTGTCTGGGAGAATAACCTTTTCAAAAGAGAGATGCAGACTGGATTGTACTGTGCTCATCATTAAAACAGTTTGGTAGCATTTTATACAATCGAAAAAGTAAGTTGGCTGAGTGGGTCTATTCTTAGCTTATCTCTTCAAATTCACTCCTTATCATTCTTCTCACAGTGTCCACATCAGCCTTCATTCACTGATTAACAAATATTTGCTTGGAATGTATTTATAGAGTCACTAAGGATACACCAGTGGCTGAGAGAAATGCAGTTCTTATATTTCTAGAACTTACACTTTAGGTAAAGGAGATAGAGTAACTGTAACTGTAAACGAAATCAGTAACTGTTAGTTGTAATAAGTAAAAACCTGCAAATAACAAAAAAGGCCCTCTTGAGATAAAGCAGTCAGGAAAGTCTTCTCTTAGAAGGTAGTATTTTACATGCAATCCAAAGGAGAAAGAGAAGTGAGCCATCTAATGAATGGGAGAAGAGAAAATTCAGGTACAGAAAAAAACCCTTGCAAAAGTTCTGCATGCTGGAAAAAAACAGTCTTTGAAGTACACAGAGAAGATCAATTTACTACATAAAGTAAGAAGGAAGTAAAGGTGGTTGGGGCCTGATTGTGCAGGGCTTTGAAGGCCATGGTAAAGGTTAGAATTTTATCATCTTTTCTTATTTAAAAATTTCAAAAGTTATTTTAAAAAGTTGAAAGATTGACACAATCCTTACCATTATACTTTTCACCTAGACTCATCAATTAATATTTTTTATCAATTAATATTTTGCCACATTTACTTTCTATTTTGTTTGTTTGTGTGTGTGTGTGTTCTGTTGTTGTTCAAATATTTTTTCCTTCTTCATTTTTGGTGTTGGGGATTGAACCTAGGGGCACTTTCCAATTAAGCTACATCACCAGCTTTTATTTTTTAATTTTTTAAAAAATTTTTTAATATTTATTTTGTAGTTTTCGGCGGACACAACATCTTTGTTTGTATGTGGTGCTAAGGATTCGAACCTGGGCTGCACGTATGCCAGGCGAGCGCGCTACCGCTTGAGCCACATCCCCAGCCCTATTTTTTAATTTTGAAACAGGGTTTCATCAAGTTGCTAAGGCTGGCCTTGAATTTACAATCTTCCTGCCTCAGCCTCCTGAGTCACTAAAATTACAGATGAGCATCATCCCCCTGGCTTTTGTCAGATCTTTTGAAAGCAAGTTGTAGATACTGTGACACTTTGCTGCTAAATAAATCAACAAAAAAAGATTGTTGTACATTCAAAAAGCAAAGCCATTCTTCCACATAATTCCAAATTCATTGTAATACATGACTTAAAACTGATCCAATATCATGTAATATGTAGTCCATATTTAAATTTTCCCAATTGTCCATGAAATACATTTTGCAATTATTTTTAAAAGATATGTGAACCAATCCAGAGTTAGGTATTTTCTCCTAACTAAAACAATCTTCCACCCTGTTCTTCATGTCATGACATTTTGAAGAGCCTGTAATTGCTGGTGTATGATGTTTTACATTTGTTTGTTTATTATTGCTTCCTTATTAGATTCATGCCAAACATTTCTGGTACAAATATCCTCACTTGGTTAAGTTATGTCTAATAAATCTCTTCATTGCAAAATTGTCTTTCCACTTATAAGTAAGAAATAATCTGGGGTTGGGGTTGTGGCTCAGTGGTAGAGCGCTTGTCTAGCATGTGCAAGGCCCTGGGTTCCATCATCAGCACTACATTAAAAAAAAAAAATATGTATATATATATATATATATATATATATATATATATATATATATTATATATATTATGTAGGGTCATTCTTTGGCAATAATCTTAATGTTTTGTTTCCCAAAAACCTTTCAGCCAATATGTATTATTTGTTGTTGTTTATACCAAGTAGAAAAACCAAACTCAAACTGTTTCTTCTACTTTGTGCTCAAAATATTGAACATTTCTGTGATCCCAAAGTGTGTAGGGATTTCTCATCACCAGTAAGCAAGCAAATAACTCTGCAGTGTACATTAGCTGGACAATCTCTAATTCATTTCTGACATGATCAAACAGGAAGTAGCATCAGATCCCTTAGGCTGAGGGCTCAGTCCCACAAACCTTCCCTTATTTCATTCAGTTATAAGTCTAGGTCTCTGGAACTTCTGACTGACCATTTACAATTGGTGTTTCCACAACTCCCTCGTCAGATTTGATGAATTTTGCTAAAGCAATACACAGAATTTAGGGCAACATTATACTTACATTTGCCAGTTTATCATAAAGGACATTTTCAAATATATGAATAACCAGCCAGATGAAAAGAAACATTGGGTGAGGTCTGGAAGGGTCCCAAGCTCAGGAAATCCTGACCCCATGGAATTGGGGTGTGGCACCCTCCTGGCTGGTGGATGAGATCTCATTCACCTCCTGAAAGCTTCCATTTGTTCAGCAGTCTAGAAGCTCTCTGAATCCTTTCCTTGTAGGTGTTTATGAAGCCTTCATTGCGTAGGCATAAAGCATGGACAACAGTGTAGAAATGTGATTATACAAAAAGGGTATGATCTAATGCTAATAGACAGAGTGGGAGAAATCCAGCAAGGTTTGTCTGTCCTGATTCTTCTTAGCTTCTCTGACCAACATTCCTTCTTTTGGGGCATTCCTCCTTCTGAAATAGAGGTCTTATGACTTATCATCAGACAGGGTAGGTCAGAGAATTTCTTTATGGCTAGCACCAAGACAGAAAGGTGTGGTAAAATTAAGGTTTCTAAGACCCATCTTGGGGAAAAGAAATTCTAGTTTTATGGCTTGCCTTGGGGAGAGAGTTATAAGTCAGGAACCATGGATGAAAACCATAATATACACATTTATACTATAATGCATATATACCAGTAATAAGGTTTAATTTATAAATCAGGTACACTAAGGGCTTAACAGTAACTAATAATAGGACAATTATAAAAATATACTATAATAAAAAAGTTATATGAATGTGGTTTGTTCTCTCAAAATACATTGTATTACATTCACATTTTTTGTAATGATGTGAGATGATATGATGCTTATATGAAGAGATGAAGTAAGGTGAATGACAGGCCTTGTGTTGCATTAGGTTACTACTGACATTCTGATGAGTATCTCTTGATTGAAATTAACCCTGGGTAACTGAAACTTAGAAAGTGAAACTGGAAATGGGGGACTACTGTACTCTTTTGTAACTTTTTTTTTTTGTCACTTATATCAGTATAAGTAATGTTTATTTCTAAAAAGTCATTGAAAGACTTTCAGCAAGGGGATGATAACATCATTTGCATTTTGAGATTAGTTTGGTAGCTCTGTGATAGTGTGGGGAGGTATAGCACCTAAAGTAGGTGATATAGTCCAAGTAGAGTTAGGCACTGGGCATGTGAGGCACTGGGTTCAATCCTCAGCTGAGGTCTTCTGCACAATGGAAAGATAAATGAACATGAGGACTCAAAGGTGATTCTTTTGTTTTTGTGTAACTGGGTAGATACATGGTGCTGTCATTTACTAAGATGGAGATTAGGGAGAAGAGGGTTTGGTAATGAAAAATTGATCTTACATTGAACATGTTAAGTTAGGGATATGTTACACATTCAATTAAAGATGTTAAATAAGTACTAGAATAATTCTTTCTAGTTGGATCTCTGAGGAGAGGCCTAGGGAGTATAAGGAATTCAGGTGTCAGAACTAGAGAGATGCTACTTAAATCCCTGGGTTCACAGGGTTGCAAGAAGAAAACTGTGGAGAAGCAAAAGAGGGCCTCAGGTTCTGAGGATTCGTAATTTAGAGGTTGGGTAGGAGAGATAGAAAAGGAGACTTAGATGGCTAGTGAGGTTAGTAATACAAAAAGAGAGTGGTAACCCAACACCAAATGAAGAGTGTTTTAAGGCTGAAACATTTAATTGTGTAGATGAAACATTCAACTGTGGAACACTGCTAGGAGTTGGAATAAGATGACAGAAAATCCACTTAATTTTCAGTTCCTCCTTTCCCTTGTGCCTGGAATGTTTGTTTCTTTTTCTTACTTAGTTAACTACTAATGTTCCTTGGAGATCCAGATGAAATCTTTGCTCAGGTTTCCCTGTGACAATCATATTGCTGTACGAATATTCCTTCTAATCAATCAAAACAGCTGTAATTTTTCAATTTTTTGTATCCACATTTGATTGTTTCTCCCATTAGAATGTAGGTCCCTTGAGGGTTAGTGTCTGTTTCCCTTCTCCACTGTCTCCACCCTCTACCATAGAGATTTTAAACAAATATTTCCCAAATAATAAATGTAGCAACTGGAGGGTTTAAGAACTGGGAATCAGTGACAACTAGCAAAAAGCATTGTGAGATATAATAGAAAGCTGGGATTTAGGGATAGACTTGCCTGAAAGAGCAATAGAAAATACGACGTAGAACCCATTAGAGACTTAAATTCCAGCCTGGACAAAAAAAAAGTTTCTACTTTATCTCCCCTATTTTCTTCCATTTTACATCTACATTTATTTGTTCTTATTTCATCCTGGTTCTGCATCCTGTTCTCTACTTCAAGCTCAATTGGTTTACCTCAAATTTGACTATTTTGTGGGGAAAGAAGGAAAACTGAATAGAACAATGGTAGGTGATGGGAGACCTATGACAATGGAAGAAAAATGGTAAGCTCATCAAATTATGTGTTTAAAAATGCTTTTAAGCAAGGAAAATAGTTGAAAATAAGACCATATATAAGAGTGTGTTTGTGTCCTGAAATTCTTCAGCTTAATTTAAATCTCCCTCCATCTGTCTTTAAGCCCATTACTTTAACATTGTGAACTTAAGTTTCCTCAGAATTTATAAAATGGGATGATTGATAATAGTACCTACCTCAAAGGGTTCTCAGGATCAGTGAGACAATCCATTTTATAAGTTTAGCACCACGATGGCACAAGTAAGCGCTCAATTTATGTTAGCAGTTATTTTTCTTTAAAATCAAGTAGAGTTAGGAGACAGCCTAAGTAGTAAATAGTTGTCAAATAAATGTAATAGTAGAGCACCGCACTCAAATAAAGAGGACCACTTTAACAGAAGCAGAGAAGGATGCACTGGCACTTACATTTTGGGCAATGCAAAGACCATGCCTATGATAAGACTAACAGCACAAAGCCTTGCAGCGGTAGCTGATTTAAACTCTCAGAAAAGCCAAAAAAATATTGAAAAAATAAAAGAAAGAAAATGCTCATAAAATGTGTTTGGTCCGTCAGGGCCGCTGTCTACAGATAGGCTAGTGCAGCTAGGGAAGTGACCCCTGGTTCCGACAAGAGGAGTCTTTTCCGGCCCCGAGGGGACAGGACCCGGAGGTGACTAGCCCGCCATTCTTCGGCCCGTCCCTGGGGAGCCGCAAGAATAAGTGCGGCGGCAGAGGCCTCACCTCCGGGCCTTCGCCACGTCTTTCTTGTCTCAAGAATGGAATCCAAGACCTGCGTTCCAGCCAACAGATAGTGATACCTATAGCGGCCACGAGGAGCCCCGAGGGAAGTCACATCCTGGGCTCCTGGCCGCCCACCAACCGGTCTCTGCCCATTGGTCGCCTCATGCTCCAAGTCCCGCCCTCAGATTTGAAAGCTTCTTCCGGGAGCCGCTGAATCCACAGCGCTGTCAGCGGCACTCTGGAGTGAGCTGCGGAAGCCCCGCCCACTCCCAGCGTTCAGTGCGGTGCTCTGGCCGCCATTGTTTGAATTTGAAAACCAAAACATCGCATTGCTGCTCGCAGGTCGGGCGTCTGGGCGATATTGTAGGTGAGAAGGTGACCTTGATAGGGGAGCCGAGGAGGAGTCTCCCACTGCTAGTGTAGCTGCGGGGAAACGGCTGTAGTATTGTTAGTATTTTCTGATGGGGCTCGTGACGCCCCTAAGTCAGGAACTGGTTGCAGAGCTTTGGGTCGCGGCGAGGGCTGAGCCATGCTTTGTGGTTTAGGGTTTAAACCTAGTTTCAGCTGAGCGGTGCAAGGCAATTTATTTTTCTCTCTTCCGGCCACTTTCCTCATCTGCTAAGAGGAGGTAATTAAAGTGTCTACTTAGGGCCGTTGTTAAGATTAAATGATAATGTGTAAAGTTGTTAGAAACGTTACTGGCACATAGTAAGTTGATATTACTTCTTTGCAATTAGCATTTTGTTGTTGTTGTCAGTGTAGTTGCTTTTTTGTTGAGGAAAAGGCCTCTTGACAAACCAACTTTCCCGAATCCCTGAAGTGAGCAATTTGTTACGCAGGTGACATGGTCTCTCTGGAGTTAGCTCAGAATGCCATACCAGATGGATTGAACATGGCTAAAAAAATGCTTATTTGGGCTATATTTAAAGTAAATGGATGAGTACAAATTTGAATTGGACTTTAAAGCTAAGCGCCCACGTTCTAAGTAGAAGAAATAAACAGCTGTGGATGCCCATTACTACCCTTTCCGGCCAGGAACCCTAATTCGTGATTCACTGGTGTAGATGTTTTATATTCTTATCACCGAACAGAGGCCTCACTTTCTCCTTGTGCAAGTAGTATATATTAGTAAACTTTTGAATGTTGACATTTTTTGCAGTTAAGGTTGCCCTTATGTTTACCTTTAAGTTTAGTGATCTAACGTTTAATTCGATTTTAATACTTTAAGGATGCATTATTTCATGTTCAGCTTAAGACTTGTGGTATGCCTGATATGTTTGTGTGCATGTATTTATTTATTGGGTCCTGGGGATGGAACCCAGAACAACATGCTGGTCAGGCAAGTACTGTATGATTGAGCCACAACCCCAACCCAGGTACTGTTTTAAATACATTAGCATACATTATTTAACTTTTTGTGCGCACTTTTAAGAATTAGACTGAAAATAAATTTTCCAGCTAATGGAGTTTAGCTCTTAAGTGCTAAAACAAAATATGTAACATTCTACAGAAGACACTAAAAAACTTAAAATAATAAAAGATTATAATTCACTGTATAATCTCTTTGCTATTTGATTTCTGAGAGGATTTTAGGCGGAGAGTTAAACTTTGATTTTCTTTTCTACAGATTATTCAAGAAATCTCTTTGGATGGATCTATCTATAGGCTGGGTGTTTGCTGTGTTCAATATTATTTGATTTAGAATCTGAAAATATAATTTGGTCCTTTGTCTTTTCCCTAGGTTATCTTGTTAGAAATGAAACACTTTAATGTTTTCCCTCTGTAAAATGTAGTTATTTGTGGGGAAGTAAATGGTTGTATTGTACACTTTTTAAATCCTATGTCGCTTGCATGCTGACTTACTAAAGTTATCTAAAGAAGATACTGTTATTCTTGCAGAATGGAATCTAATTCGAATCAAGATGGAGTACCTAGACGGTCTTATGTTTTTAGTGCTGACCCAGTTGCAAGGCCTTCCGTAATAAATTTTGATGGCATTAAGCTTGATCTCTCTCATGAATTTTCCTTAGTTGCTTCAAACACTGAGGTAAGTACAAGTAAATATAAGAAAATATTATGTTGAGTATCATGATTCAGGGGAAATGAGTGCATGTGAGTAGAACAGAAATTGCCAGACTTTCTAGGTTTGAAGCAACCTTGTATTTTAGTAAGTTGTTCATGGAGACCTAAGTCTAAAAGAAATACATAAAAGTTTCTTTTCAAGTTAGGTCTTAACAACCTGATAAGTACCCTTCTTGCCCTAACCTGGTTACCATTTGAAAAAAAAATTGGGAAAAATGTTTTTAAAATTTCATTTTTTGATAATTTCACTTACAAATGGCATATTTGTCTCACTTTATTTTGATATTTGCTTTATTGTGTTGGTCTGCAACTGAATCTGCAATGTCTCTGAGGTATTCCTATATTGCGAGTAATTCTTTCTGTCTGTAAGAAACTGTCCGTATGGTTTTGAAATAAATCTTGAAATCAGGTAGTGTTAGCCCTCCAAATTTTTAATATATCAAGAGTTGTTGGGCTCTCTGTACTTTTCATTTCTATATTTTAGATGAATTTGTCCATTTCTTTAAAAAAGCTTGCTGAACAAAAGAAAACTTGATTGAGATTGCATTGAATCAGTTTTGGAGGAAACTATCTTAACAATATTGACTCAACCAAACAATGAGCGAGGTGTATCTCCATTTAGTTTGGTCTCCTTTAATTTCTCTCATCAGTGTTTTGTAGTTTTTAGTGTATAGGTCTTTCACATTTCTTATTCCAATTTATCCACAAATATTTTGGAATTTTTGATACTATTGTGAATGGTGTTGCTTTCTTAAGATCAATTTGTAACTACCCAGTTTAGATAGAAAAACATTTGATTTTGCATATTGATTTGTGTCTTGCTGCATTGTTAAATTCATTTAATTTTTCTAGTAGCTTTTTTTTTTTTTGAGAGAGAGAGAGAGAGAATCTTTTTTTGTAGGTGGACACAACACAATGCCTTTATTTATTTATTTTTAATATGGTGCTGAGAATCGAACCCGGGTCTCGTGCGCGCTAGGCGAGCTCTCTACCACTGAGTCACAATCCCAGCCCTCTAGTAGCTTTTTATTTGTCAGATTTTGTAGGCCAATGTTCATGTTGTCTATGAGTAAAGAATTTTATTTCTTGTCTCCCAGTTTGGATGTGTTTTCTTTCTTATTTATTTTTACTGATATCACAAGCTAGAACTATTCTAGTACAGTGTGAAGTAGAGTGATGAAGTAGAAATCTTTTGTTTTGTTACTCAGATTTAGTCTTTTACAAGTATGATGTTAGCTGTAGATTTTTTCTAAGTGTCTTTCTATTCTGCTTTGTTGAGACTTACATGCTGTTTGGATGTTGAATTTTTTCAAGTGCTTTTTATATCTTTAAAATTTCTCATTTTCTAACATGGTAATTTGTTCTAATTGATTTTTAAATGCTTAAACTGACATTATATTCCTAAGATAAACTATTCTTGGCTATAAGGTATTATCATGTTTTATGTACTGGGTAACATTTTGTTAGGGAAATTTTGCATCTATCTTTTTTGTTTTGTTTTGTTTTTGGTACCAGAGATTGAACTCAGGTGCACTTGACCCCTGAGCCACATTCCCAGGCCTTTTTGTATTTTATTTAGAGTCAGGGTCTCATTGAGTTGCTTCGCATCTCACATTTGCTGAGGCTGGCTTTGAACTTACGATCCTTTGCCTCAGCCTCCCAAGTCCCTGGGATTATAGGCATGCACCACTGCACTGGGCTGCATCTGTCTTAACATGGTATATTCTGTAATGTTTTCTGAAGATATCCTTATCAGATTTTGGTATCGGGATATGTCAAACTCAGGATTAGTTGAGGTGTTTTCCTGTATTTTCTTAAAAAGTTTATGTATAATTTGTATGATTATTTCCTTAATGTTTTAGATATTTATTAGTGAACTACCAGGATCTAGAGATTTGTGTATGTGTGTGGTGGTGGTAGTGGGGGGTGTGCAATTATTTTGTTTGGTAATGGATGAAATTTCTTCAATAGATTTAGTGTTATTTTGACTTTCTGGTTTTTATATTTGTTTTGGTAATTTTTTTTCAAATGATTGTCTTCTTTTTTAAAAAGGACATTTAAGAATGTCCTTTTAAAGACATTTCTTTTAAATTATTTTTGAAAATGAGGTAAGCTCATTTCTTCCTCAAGGAAAGCGAAGAGAATATTACATAGTAAAACAATTCTGAATGATGGAATCCAACATTTATGTTAATAGAATATTCTGATTACTTGTGATTTATTCTAGGGTTCTATTTTCAATGACTTAGAGTCTTTGTATTAGACATAAAGATTAGGGTTTTATAGAGAAAAGATTTTTTGCTAATTTAACACAAAAATAGAGGAGGTAGAAGAGAGTGAATCTTGTTTTCTTAAAAATAGATTTGTTGAGGGCTGGGAATATAGCTCAGTCGGTTAGAATGCTTGCCTCACATGCACAAGGCCCTGAATTCGATTTCCAGCACCACACACACAAAAAAAGATTTGTTGTGTTTTATAAATAAAATGTAATAAACATTTAATATAGTGACTATTTGCTTGGAAACTATAAGCTCAGATTATTCTTTAACTGTCAATTTGCTAAAAAAAAAAAGATGTTCTCAGAAAAGCTATATTCCCTATGTTTAAAATAATTATTTTGTTTTCCTTTAGGCAAACAGCTTGGAATCTAACGGTAATCTTCAGGTTTGTCTTCGAATAAGACCATTCACACAGTCAGAAAAAGAACATGAGTTTGAGGTTTGTGTTGAATTTAACTGAATTTTACTTTCAGTAAATCGGAAAAATGCCATTGCTCTTATTTCTTGTGGATATGTGTTGTAGGGTTGTGTCCATGTTCTGGATTCACAGACCATCCTACTTAAAGATCCTCAAAGCTTCCTTGGCCGGTTAAGTGAGAAAAGCTCTGGGCAGATGGCACAGAAATTCAGTTTTTCCAAGGTAAATGCCCTGTGAGAATGAAGGTTTTTCTTGGGGGGTGGGACAGAGCATAAAACTCATTAAACCCAGGGCCTTATTGATACAAAGCATACTCTGCACCACTTAGCTAATCCTCAGCTCCCACCCCCTGCTCTTTTTTTCTTA